CATCTTTATCCGGCATAAAAACATCCTGCATGGTCTGAGCAAGATGGACACCAGGTTGCTGCCGAATTCATTTGGGAACGGATTACATTTTAGCTGCTTTGATGTTCGTTGAAAAAGCTCAAGACTATTTCAAATATCGTACAGTCTAACGATCTATGAGTTGAGAGCTAGATTTACGCCATTATCACCTCGAGTGTGACTATGGGTTAGGATCTTTAATGCACAAGTTGACTCATCGTCTGATAAGTCAGAATCAGATCAAAAATGTTTGTAATATTAGAATTCGGAGTGTATATAGTCTATTCCATAGAAGTTTTGGTTATTTTAGTGTCGGACGTAAAACATTTTTAAGTGGTGCAACAAATCCTTGTAATGAATAGAATGTCTAAAAAACGACCTTAAAAGATGCCATCGGTTGAAAACTGCGGCGCGGGTGATTATCAGTTAAGAAGTCAGTAATATTAATTGTGAAATTGACCGCTGTTATTAACGGTAGATGTTAAAAAGAACGCAGCTGCTTCAGTTCAATATACCAGCATAATGAAACAAAATGCCACCAAGAGGGGCAGATTTTTCGTATTCCAAGGTTAGGTTCGATATAATAAGCACTACGTCATGGAGGTAGACAATGAAAACCATCACTGTACAAACGTCTTTCACTTTTTGCTATGTTAACGTCTTCCAGATTTTTTTTTTCTTTGAGAAACGCATTTAACACGAATGTAAGACAGAAGTAGAGAAATTGACGCAATAATGTCTGAGGTATAACATCTTCAAAATCCTATCGTATTTTTCATTTGTGGTCAAGCTTATATCGAATCGCCTCAAATCTTTCGATCCGTTTACTAATAATCCGTTTACGAATTGAATTTGGCTTGCGTTTCTATTTCACGGCGGTTTCTCTTTCATATGCAGCAGAAAATATCTACCATACAGTAAAAGGCCGCAGTTTCGATAAGATCAATCAGCTGTAAGCCCAAATTTATTTTATTAAAAACGTAGCCTCCTAGTGACAAAATACGATAAGGCCAATACTTTTACCATTGAAAAACAACAAGCACATGTGTTGTTGCACATCGTTTTGTGCTTGTGCATTCACGACGCCCGCAATATGCCACGGGTAAAAGGTTATGTCTGGTTCAGCATTTGCGTCCTTTCTTTGCATAAACCCTTTCCTTGAGTTCGTTCCGGTTAGGTCGATTTTTTACCATTAGTTTAATTAATTTACGTCTTACGTAAGACATTGCATTGCGTCTACGACTATTATGTAACCTTAAGCGACGCCTATAATTTATTATTTAGTTTACTGTAGAAAAACCTCTTCTGCTTTTTAGATCAAAAAAACTGAAATAATTGATTTTATAAACTAATCGGGAGATTATGCAGCTTGAGTCATACACATTAAACTTTAATTAGAGTGACTTGACGTTACTTACGTGAAATAAATGTAAGGAAGTTTTCATATTCGGTGTTAGTACTAAACATTTAAAATACAATAAAAATAGTTGTATTTCTAAAGCGTTGTTAAGCATTAATTCGAGCGTTACAGCAGTATTAATAACAGTTAAAAATAACTTGTCAATAGGACCAATTTCACACTACATTTTTTTAATTTTCAACAGGTTTCTTCCACTATTATAATTGTTTCACATTATTTGCGTCCTATTATGACCTTCATTTTCCACCGTTGAATACGAATGACTATGTCAATTAGTTCAATCAAAAGTTAAAAAAAATTTCTGTACAACTATTTCTCTAGAAGAAGGCTGATGTGTTGTTTGGTTCTTTAGGGGGTTTTTACTCAACATTACAACAAGTAAATAGTCCTGCCCCCCCCCCCCCCCCTTCTCCAGAAATGCTTCGTTATTGGATATCTTAACTTTAGTGCATTCTCTACTAGCTGAAGAATAGAATATGTCGTTGTGCATGGACCGAAATAGATAATAACCGTACAATACAAATTTGGCGCACCTTCGTGCGTCAGACAAAACATTTTTTCCAAGGCTTAGTTAGGCACTTTTTGATGTGATACAAGTTGTATACGACAAAACACCATCTCACTGGAAGACCACTTTTATCTCTCGTTAGTTCTACTCGCTTTTAACTGAATTGTATTATCAATTTTTAACATCGTTTGGTACCAGCGGTCGTTTCAACACGGAAAGCTTATATTAGATCGTTTTATTTCACCAGGGTAACCATATTATTAACTTTCTTGAGGTCAACAAACCAAGGTCAAATCTTTTGTCTTGAAGTGTACGATATTTGCTAATTGACGATGGCTCACAAGCGCAGAAGCATATGATATCACCAGTTTGATGCTACGAAGAAGCATGCTCCCTTTCGAGAAGCAGAAATAACGAAAAGGTGTTCTTCTTTCGTAAAATGTTGGGTATGATATACCCACTGATGTAGGTCAGCTTACAACTTTACTGAAACAGCCAGTACTCTCCTGGTTTAAGTTCACTTTAGAACTGATTATCCTTGATAAATATTTGCTGACGTCAACGAGTGATTACTATAAATTGAAGCAACCGTAGTTAAAGAGTACTAAGTTAACAGTTTAGCGAAGAAAGAGTTGAGACTGTTCCTTGGCAACCTTTTCTTTGTAACTGTTTAACACAGCACTGAATTAGAACAAGGTTATACTTTTATCCTGTGCGTAAACAGTATTTTGTTGTAGGTCAGGTAAACTACGACGCAGCAAAAGAAACCATTCAGGACTACGGTACAGCAAAAAGCGGTACGCTTTTAATGGTTTTTTACAAAACGAATTACATGATTCGAGCTTTACATCTGACACTTCCCTTGACCGACATTTTGGGCGGCTAGCCCGATCTGGTACGAAACAAAGTTTGTCTACGTTCAGTTTTGAATCTGGATCACTTTATGTGTTTCTAAAGTTTAGTAGTTAAAATCGTTACCCCTAAACCATCAAAGCAAAATCGAAAGCTTTCTCCATGAAACCCTATTATCATATTTGTGTTTATATACAAATGGTATTTCATTTTATTTAATGTTACATGCAGTTCTGATGATTTTTTCTACTACTTGTTCATTCAGTGCGTTTTTGCTAGAAATTTCCTCTTCTATTTTTTACTCTATTGCTGCCAGCATCCACAAAACAAATACCATCAATAGGAGCCATTAGAAATCCGACAAGGGACCTTAGTGAGCCTGATCGAACCAAGCCGCTACAAAGCTAGACAAAGAGTTCCGCTCTGGGCACACACTTCTTACATTGTATCGTACGTCAATCGCTTCTTTAGGTCTATATTCATTATGATTTAAATGAAGTGTGCTCTATTGTCAATTGTCAGCTGAACTCATCATAAATAACGCCCCATGGCATAACTATACGCGATATGCTGTGGTAGGTTAGAGCTATAATAAACCGCACAATTTGCCGTCAGCCACACCAGATGCATATTAAAATCTATTAGTTAATTCCACTACCATTGAGATATATTAACTGCTAGATGAAGTACAAAGCCAAGGTGAAATATTTTGTATTCAGCTGAATTTAAGCTACACGGGTCGTGCTTTCGTGTCCAAGAACGGCCGGTTATTTCATTTTCGTGTTTATTTGATCATGTGTAATGGGAAACACGTATTGTTATATGTATTTAATTTGAAATGTTACTACAAACTATGATATATGGTTGTCAACAATTTACCTTGACTGGTCTACGAGGTGAAATGTGTGATCACTGAGGGTTAAGACACAAGCACTTCGATCGGGCTGAAATAATCAATAAAGTGAGGAAAGGAAAGTTCAAGAATGGTACTAGAACTCGTAGATACCACAATCCCTCAAAGGATATATGCGCCCCTCGCACAAAGCGGGTCTTCAGCCTTAAGTAATCCCCGTTAGCTATATATACCCAATGTTACCTAATATCTATCAAATTATCCGTGGCATAGAAAAATTTTATCAGGTCGGTCTGTTCTTGCTGAAATGTATCGCAATTAAGCTATCTGTCCTTGTATAATCTTCCGTCAGATTGGAACAGTTTTTTTTTGCAGAACTTATCCTAAACGATCACGTCAGTCTAGCACAATGTCGATAAAAGTTGAATATTTACCTTTTACCAGACAACATTTTGTGATAGGCACCGTAACTAACGGACTGTTCTAGGCATTTTGTGACTGATTATACATGCAACTCGTGAGAAAATGCGTCCAATGATTAAGCTGCACAATTTTTCCGTTTTCTCTTCACCCCGAGACCCCAAGGAACAACTCCCTCGAGTGGAATCTTTCATGCGAGCTACCATGTAGGCTTAGCTCTTACTGAGGAAAAGCCGTTGCATCGGGGTGCAGCGATTCCCCAGCTTTAGTTTTTTGTTCAATAAAATAGGGTCCATAAAAGGTCTCGAAAGAAAATACAACGCATCTGCTCTTAGCATTGGTTTCTTTACACGTTGTCAACAACCACGGTTCCGTCGAGGGCTTTGCAGAGATAGCTTTGCTCCGGGTTTCGCCGGACCTATTGCTCTCGGGAGCTGTTGCTTGATCCTAGGTTAGTTTCGACTACCGCTAGCTTGCTTGTGGCTTTAGGAAACGGCCTTCTACTGTGGAGATGTGCGACGGTTAACGATCGAAGGGGCGAGGGTAAAGACACAAACGACGAGCAAGCACACACGAAGGTAGACCATGGACTCCCTCCGATTCGCAGACAACAATCGTACAACGTACAAGAGCGGGTGATGACGACGACGAGAACGAACAGGACATCGCTGGCAATTTCCGCCCTATCACGACCATAAAAGACTTTAGGTGCGCTCCTTGTTTTGAGGTCCAAATCGTGCTCACTTGGGCTCCATTGCTTAGCTTTTTGGTTAACTCCTTCATTCAAATGCTATGCGCCTTGACTTTATGTTTCAAGGAGCGCGGGAGATACCCAGTTAAACACTCCCCATTTGTTTTATGAATTATGTACTCGACTATACTGGTAAAGGTGGTTAGATCAAAAGGGAAAGTTCGTTAGTTCAGAAGCATTGACCTAAAAAGGATGTCACGGCATAGTTGGATTGTTATACGACGAGAAAAAAGCGCACCCGTTACGCACTGAGCTTAAAAGTTATCGGATGCGCATAAGGTACACGACAACTTAGCTGAGACCAAGGTACCCGAGAGGATTATAACTGTAAAAGAAGAAATAAAGGTGAGAAGCTGGATGCATATTTGAATTAGAAAGACGACACCGGTGTACGTGTGTATAGGCATTTTTTGTCTCTTCTAATAAAATCCAAATTGATTTGACAGTAGTTACGAGTGCGAAGGTGTACACAAGATACCGAGTGTACGTTTCGTGGATCTTTAAGCGTCGTGATGGTTTAGCTTTGGGCGCACTTTTCAAAGGTAGGTCCCCTCCTGGTGCCTGCGTACGTAATGACAACATATGATCTTTCTATCGACGGATACTTTTCACAGGCTTGGTCCAAACCATAATAAGTATGTTACCGAATTATTGCTTTAAGTAGAAATCTTGTCATATTCATGAAGAGGGAGACTATTATGGTACATCTCCGTGAATCCTCAACGTTTTTGTTGTTTGTTTCGTGTTGTTAGAGCACGTTGGTGCTGATTGCATGGCACCTTAACTGATAAAGCTACTCACTTAAATCGCAGCCTTTGAAATGAGTATACGGCTTAGTTACGTTATGCCGCCTTTTAATTGGCAACTCGGATTTTCACCGTTATTGTCATCCTGTACAAGCTGTTTTCAATGTAGATTTAAATATCATATATAATATGGACGTGCCCTATATACGTTTTGTTGTCGGTTGCTATCAGCATTTTCAATACTTCGAAAATTAACACGATGTTTTGATACCTCATTAGTAGTCTTACGTACAAGTCAATATCAAAGGATGGACTGGAGTTGAGTTCCAAAAGGAATACTAATTATTGTGTTTTAGTATTAAAGCCTGTATCCTCTTCTTGGTATTGCTTGTCCACGTAAACAAAGTACTATAACGGAATAACTAACAAGTAAGGAAAATGATAAATTAGAAACATAAATTCACCATACATCATACGAAAGAACTGTTAACCGTGTTGCACAGAAAAATCGTACGTGGGTATTTTATGCTATTCTTTAAAATGGGATGGATTTTCTTTTAAAATATCCTTTCGTGATTGTATCGTTCTAAAGTTTTTACATGAAGCTAACTTTTCTGCTTCACGTTCAACCGGAGCAAACATTAGCTATTATTGCCAGGCGACGATAAACAGCTCACTAAAAAAATGAACAGTCAACTTATAATCAGTACTTTCAATATAGTTACATATACCTATACGCACAAAGTAAAAGAAAATAGAACCATTTACTTGTGGTACGTTTAGAAATCGATTCCGCTATCCCGTAGGTTTCAATAAATAACTAGTTTTTTATATCCAATAAAAAAAATAGAACAATCTAAGCTACGCAGCATTTCTATACTGTTGGTGCTTTGTATATGGGCCATCTGTAAGCTGGTCCGATATATATTCACAAATAGTGTAAATAAAATTTCTTGCCTACAACAACTCGAGGCAATGACAAAGACCCATTCAATTCGACTAAAGGGTCGAAAAATGTTTGACATTCGCTAAGACTAGAGTAATAGCAGCAAGAGCAAAAATAGACTACCGAAAAACAGGGTCACAGAACTTTGATTCTTCATGGGTATGTTGTCGAAGTTTTATTCGTGATAATGGGTTGTGATGTGCCAGCTTTTGGGGATTAGGCCGGCGATTTAGCCGACCGAGGGAACGATCTTTAATGGCTCTTGACGAAGCCCCACCCACTTCTAAAGCCAAGCAAAACTGTCGCCTCTGCCAGCTGTAAGCGAGAACCTTTTATGTCGCGTCAATTGCGTCAACGGCCATTAAGAGCCAGAGACATTTTAACTTAATAGCCCAGACTCAGTTATTAAATGCTTGTCGGATATTCCAATTGAAAAAAAAAGACATCAATAAGGAAAAAAACAAGCGAACGATGGCAATGATAATTAATTTACTGTCTGCATCACGTCAACGATATTTTTTGCAAATGTAACTATGATACGGTGTCATGCCCCTCTAATAACTACCGATGTTAAACGTTATTGATCATCGTTCGGAGTTAGTCCCACCATTTCTCTTATCTCCTAAACCTGAGCATATCATGTATCTGGTTTTTACTATTTAGTTTAGGATCGATTTGAGCTTGGTCAATGATTCTGTTCCACCAATGTTGACTACTATTGATTATTGGAATTCAGACCTCGTGCGTGCCTTTTCAGTGCGGCAGTATACGTTTGCTTAGAGATAAATGTTATGAGAACTGAATGGGACGTTCAAAGAATCTGGTTTGTCGCTGTACAGATACACATTTGATTTTGTGCTGGGGTCGAGTTGACTAATGGATTGTCTAACGACAGTCCCAGACATTAAACTTGAAATGTCTAGTCTTAGTTTCAGCTTGAGAATGTTCCTAACGTCCAATTATTAGAAGACAAAGAGGTATTGTGCCGTTGACGCACCGCAAACAAGTACAACTATAGGTGAAAAGATGGTTCGCAAATACTACTGAAAATCATTATAGCTATTATATTGTTATACTAATGATAATCGTTATAGCTTGACAATTCATATTGTCAGTGTTATAATAATACATATATGCTCGGTTCCCGGAAGACCCACCATCGCTTGGGCACGAACTGCAAAACAAACCATACTGATGTTCACGAGTACGCCACAATCAGGTCAGTCCACCAACATTTCTGCACGCCATAACTCTGAACCTTCTAAGTCGTCTTCGAACTACTGTAGTTGTTGTTCTGGCGCTGAAAATCACTGTCACACACAGTCTTTCGCTGTTGAGTTCTTTAGTCCTGACAGGCCCTTGGAGACTGCAATTCCGAGGCCTGTCGTCGAAGAGATAGCTGACTCACAGCTAAGACAGATAAAAAAAGCCACACATAATTTCCTCCAGATATCCCTCATTATCTAATACAAGTTTATTGTCGTTACAACATAAGGTTCTTGGCATTTAAATTAGTTGATCAGTCGGCCCGATCAGCGTAGTCATAATGGGGATCGATGAAGTACCTGAATATTAAAAAAATGTAGCTTGACATCAACGCTAAATATTAATCTAACGGTTTTTTTTTTCGGATTTTGAGTTTCAGGCACCTCGAAATAAAAAAGATGTACGAGAAACCATGAAGTCAGCTTAATTAAAAAATGATGACCCGACTACTGTTTTTGTTTGACTATCGAGGAATTCAATTATTTCTATATTTACTAAACAGCACTTATATTAACTTTTTGTGTCTTAAGTGGCAGTACTAACTAAAGGGACAGTTATTCCTCTGCAGTATTGCGCTTATCAAACGGTTTACCGGGTAGCGTAACTCAGAACGAACGGTCTCTTTACTAGTTATCTGTAAACAAAGTTATCCCCTGTAGCTTCGTCAATATCTCCAGTTCGTTATAAATTTACCGCATAAAAACGATACTATTTAACCAAGGTAAATTAAATTCTTATAATGGGGAAACCCTTTTCTCCGAGGCAAATGTCATCATACATAATATGTTTCATCGTCAGATATAGATGACTTTTGTTGGTCATTCCTTTGCATGAACCAAAAATGGTTTGTTTTAAGATCAGATCCTCACCGATGCTAATCCGTTTTTCTAACCCAAATTTTTATGAGACGTACGGCATTTTTTATTATAATGCTTCAAAATAGAACTCGTTCTGCTGCAGTTTGACATGCGTTCAACCCAAACTACTGAAACAATACGGGCGCAGACTTAATGAACAAATAGGTTGTTTGCCACTTAGCAAAACACCGTGCGGTCTGCAATACACCACAATCCATGTCGTGCAAGAACGTTGTCACTGCTGCGTAGGCGACGGGAAGACGATCATAAAATTAGAGATCCTTTTATGTATTTCATGTAGAAATTTAACGTGCATGTTCCTACACTGCCAAATCGACGAAGCGTTCGACCCACGCATACGTTCCTCTCTAGTCAGTGACCCCAACCATTGGCCCTTATCGGCAAATTGGTTTATAGGATAAATGCTTTCTATATATAAACACGGTTTTGCGTTATTTATCAGATGGAGCATGCTGGCCGAAACGTCATTTTATTAAGCTAAGCGACGTACAGAAGCAGCGGCTAATAAAACTACTTTAGTGACTGACTTTTCCTGTTTACGAGACGCACCTCGTACTATCCGTCTGTTAAGAACTATAATGCATACCCTCTCTCAGTTTCCCGCCACCATATACAATTGCTGAGAAAGCAGTTTGCCCGCATATGTTGAGAGAAACATGCGCGTAAAGTCCGCACTAGTTTAACATAAAAATGTGTAAATGATTTATTGGTTTCAGAGACCGCTCGGGATAGTCCATTTCTCTTCACGAGGCAACGGTGCTGCGTCGGGATTCTTTACGTTACGTTATTGCCTGTGAACCTCTGAAAAAGACTCAGAAAAGAGCCGAGTACAAATGCACAGAAACGCAGGATGACTCCTTGCAGAACCGCAGGAAAATGCGATGGCATGTTCAGCGCCTGCATAAAACATTCGTGGACCAAACGATAAAGTGTTGGTACAAGCAAGACGACGCGTAACTACAACTTCGATAAATTTGTGAATTTGTGTCAAGACAGACATAAAGATATTAAAGATGTCGGCGCAGGAATAATCATTGGGATGTCCTTACGGTCGTCCTTATAGCGTATATTGTGCAACAAAGTAATAAGTAAGTCTCTAACCAAGTAGCTGACGGTTGGTGCTAGTTACGTACAATATCTTAAGTCAGCAAGAACGATCAACTCGGAATCACACATTGGTGAAAATATGATCGGTCAGTCGTTTTAAAATGGGATTATTTCCAGTGCGTTTGTATAGAGGAATTTAATATTTACGGCTACGGAAGTAATGTCTACAGGTCGCTACTTCCCTCTAGCATCTTCTCATTGCCTCTAATGACGCTCGTGATATGAACGTCAACTCAAATTCTTCATGAGTCCTACAGTGCCGGACTTGCAGCTCGCCATGTGTTTATTGATTTTATTCCTACCGGTAGCCGTAACGGGCCAAGCAAGGCGCCTCAGTTTTTCTATTCAGCCTAACCAAGGTAAGTTCGATTTGTTGTTGAGGTTCCGCAAAAAGTCTTCATTTACGCGAGATCGGAAACTGGAAAATGAACTTGCGATTGAAGTATTGAAGTGAGGCGTATTATTTAAGTGCAACTATAGGCGACTATAGTCGTCGATTGCAACCTGTACCAACTATTAGCAGTTTGTCATTCACTTATATACCAGCATTAATTGAAACTGATTGTAAGTACACAAGGTACAAGATGACGAATTTGAATTTTTAGCGGTGATAAGGATCTGAATAATTCCTGCTGCTCGACGGAAGGCCGAAGTAGCCTGAGACGATCATAAGAAGTACAAAACTGCCGTTCTAAGGCCATACGACAGTTAAGGTTTAATGGCAAAGTATTTCATCTGCATAAATTCAGAACAACCCATTTGATAGAGTCAGAATTAAACCAAAGGCTGTTATTGGTTCAATCAGTAATCTCACTAAAAAAGCCGTACTTCTGTGAGCAGAAAATTCGCTGCTTTGGTTCACTCGTATTCTCTTCGGCGCGATGCCCATCTGATGACGGTTTCACAATGGTCGGTAAAGCCGAAGCGGTTCATCAAACATTGTCGATCCTTAACATTTCACAGTATTAGCCACCGACGTTTCTAAAACAGCTAATACTTTATGTCAAAAAAAGATTTTTAAAACGGAAATTTGCTACATAATGTTAGGCACACTGGAAACGCCAGTGTTAATTATGATCAGTATAGGTTGAATGAATCAGTACCATCATCTGCGATATTTATTAGTGAAGTCTTAGTAGATTTGCAGGTAACTTTGAATGAAAGATCCGGAGCTCGTTCAAGTTCTAATATGGGCGCTTACCTGCTTTGACGTTCAAAGTAAACAGAAACGGCCGTTGCTGCGCCAGTCTCTTTCCTATATAAGTCACATTATTCTTAACTCTGTAATTGGAAAATGGTAAAATGTTTTTATCCGTAATGATAGACGTTTTTGTGTTATGCACCGCAGAAATATCAAATAGTATTATCGGACAGATCTACATTGCGGACATATCTACGTTGCGGACAGAGCTTCTCAGACGATTTTAGTAATATTCAGATCGTATTAGCTGGCTTCTTGTATGGGAGCATATTAGTCTACTAAAAAAAAAGTAATGTCCGTCCTTTCATTTAAATGCGATACTTCATCCAAATTTTAATAGGTATTTTGCACACACCTTTACCTTCTGCAACTGAGCGATTGTTTTACTTTGCTTCACTAAACATTGTTTGGTTTGCCACTGAAGCAGCCGTCCAGCCACTTTTGAGACCCTTCTATTATTAAATGTACCGCTATGAGTCTAGTTTGTCTAGGTGGCAATGTTCCGACACAAGGTCGAAAAGATATGGTGGATACAAGAAACTGTTAGTTAAGTTTTCGCAGGGTAACTTGAGTGACCTTTGCCGTTTGCGGTGGGCAACATCGAAGACGAACACGACTTTACCTTGCCTATCGGGCCTTGTGTGTTGGATGGTCTCGTTTATGTAACGGAATCGAATATGGGTCGATCGACTGCCGTGATTTTTCGAAACAATTCCTGACGCTTGAAATCTTTCCAGTTCAACCAAACACAAATCAAGATTTTTTCGGGCGTAAAGACACCCCTTTTCGGAACTTATCATTGTGGTTGCTCGTTGCGTGATGCATGGAAGTAGAAAAAGAAATGCTCAGTCCTTAGTCAAGCTTTTGCAGACTTTTGTTTCGCCTAATTAACAAGTCATTTGCTTCGAGGTCCTTACCGACCTCAAACAATCGTGTGTCGCTAAATTTCCATACGATTCCAGCTAATGCCGCCTAGCAGTTCGCCCAGCAGATCGCTAGGCAATACGTCTTCATTGCACACAGCACAAAAAGCCCAAACCTCCTCCGTAGTCTTTTGACCCAGGCAACGACCTGGAAAAAATAGATGTTGAAGATGCAAACATAAACCGAAACGTTCACCGTGCAACGAAGTTACAACAGACTTTTGAAGGAGAACAAAAGGCGACTTCGAATGGGCTATGAAAGTAAACAAACCGTGGAGCGAAGATATACGAAAAAGGGAATATTACTTTTTGACTAAGCTAATACATCTTGCATTTATAATTATCGATTGTTTGCTATTTCTGCCACTAATATACAACGATGTTTGATGCGCAAGAAAGTGCATGACCTTACAATCGGTGATGGTAATCAATGCACTGAAAGCACAGCCGAGTGTCAAGCATTGCAGACCCCCCACCTCAGTACAAAATGACATTTTACTTAGCTTCAGACATTTGTTTATTGAAAGCTTGGAACGACAGTACATTCGCTAAAACCAGTTAAATTGAATGATACTCATTAGCAAACGACAAAGCATATATGGTTATTCCTTCCAGCTCTCTGGCCATTCAAGAAATCGATGCCGTTAACCTTTGTCGGCTCTTTCCCGAGCCGTACGTGTGGCATGATCAATTTAGCAAAACATCTAATTCTAATGCTTTTTTTTTCCAATGTTTTCTCTTATTCAAGCGAAACAAACATCTATTCAACGGCGCAGTCTGGACCGTGTACAGGATATGGGTAGTTTTTCAATAATGAACAAAGCGTTTAAATTTAAACGTCTGTTGAGTCTTTTATTTTTGAAAAAAAAAACATACATGACTAGGGAAAGACTAGTTATCCACTTCCCATTTTTGTTTCAGGTGGGAACCCCATGGTGGTGAACGGACAGTCAGTATTCTTGTTCCGAAAACCACCTAGATTGCGGGCAAGTTTTCGGATAGCAAATGCCATACTGCATTTTCGCGTAATACAACCCAGTGAGTCTTCACCAGTGAAGATCACCTCGCCAGTTGCGACCTCGATACTGCCGCTTCGTCTAGACGAATCTATGCATCAGCAAAAAAATAAGCCGTCACATCGGGACACCCTTAGCGTTTGGATATGTATATTTGAATTAGTCAGTCATTACAGAGTGACAGGTTCGTGTTCTACGGTACATGACACATCAAGGATCTTTCGACCGATACAAAAGCATTACGCATTTATATGATCGATCTGTGAAACTCTATTAAGATGTGCGATTATCCAATCCACGCCATTCCTCCATAGCTCTACTACGATTGTGTACATTGGTTTACCACACGCACACAGAGATGTCATCATCGCTCTGTTTCAGTAGTAATTCTAAACAATGCGGGTTTCTTTCGTTCGCTACCGCTTGCCATTAGGCGCTGCATTAGGGCTGTTAGCTACGGTAAGAATGTAAGGGTAGTTATTTTCTGGGCGAGTGAAAGTGCTTGAAACATTTTTTTTTTTTTGAGTTTATTTATAGATGTAAATTACGCTGACTACAACCAACGTAACTACTCACCGAACAGTCTTAAACGCTACTATCTTCATTGATAGCGTGATTTTATTATTATTATGAGTGGTAATAGGAAAGAGTTAGCGGAAGAATCAATCATGCTTTGTGCCATTAACCCTTTGATACAGGGAAGAAATTTAGCGAATTGGTGTTGCTTCGACGAGCAGAACTTTCTATGAGGGGCGCTCCGGACCCACGGTCCCTACAGGTTGACCTGACAGATCGGGTTGCCCGTTGGCTGCGGAAGCGGAAGGAACTACGCCTTCTGGTTGACTGCATAGGCTGCGTCAGGGGGTTCCACATCGAAAGCAACAATGCTATGGGGCAGCCTCGCATCGAACTGAACATGGAGGAAGATCCTCGGTTAGTAGCTGATATTATAGTAGCATATGGAACTGCAGGATACGTGCAGATAGCAATAGTTTGTGTCAACCTTTACAAAGCTGAAGCGCCTGACGTTCTATAGGCCAATCAGTCTGAACCGAATCTTATAAAAGAGCCGTAAAAGCTAATCAAGGCGATCAGACTTAATCAATGGCCCCCTGAACTATAGCGTTTTACCTGCCACTGTTCTCCTAATTCGTACGCAATAAACGTATAGTGATAATCTTCGAAGAAAGCGGCACCGTCACCTGAGTTTCCCAACGAGAGATCCAGCCTGTGTAAACGGACAGGGATGCTGCAAACGAAAACTCTACATCGACTTCCGAGCGTTAGGGTGGGATTCGTGGATCATTGCGCCCGTCGGATACAATGCTAACTATTGCAACGGCAGTTGCAATAGTATTTCACGAACGCCAGACACATTCAGTTCACATTACTCCTACATCATGGATAGATATCGTCGACAAAAGGTAAGTCGATGCGTCAATGGTAATAGTTAGCGCGGCTTTGTGAACGAAGTCATAAACAAATTGTTCTCTCGAACGGCATTTACAAGCCTACGTTTTCAAGACCTTGACAATCGGCTGGCCTAGTTTGTGTTTTATCCGCACAACTAGAATCAAATAATGCTCGCTGGGGTGACGGGATAACACTGTCAGTCAAAAATTAGCGAAACTAATCGTGCCACTCCGTTTTGTACTCAGAAGCAGAGCTCGTATATGCCTTCGTAACGTACCAAGTCATTATGTTATTATTTTTATGTGTAGCAGTTAACGGGGTCGAGTACGGTATCGATTGCAGTATGTAATGTTTAGCTGATAGGCTATTTCTGTTATCTGTTAACCACAGCATGAATTAATCTAGGGGTGCCGGGATTCTCCCTTGGATCATTACAGTCTAATATTGCTCCGGCTTGTTGTGTGCCCACGCGCCTAAGAGCCATGAGTCTCATCTACTACGATCGGAAGGGCCAGCTCGTCAAGGCCGATGTACCGAACATGATCGTCGATGAATGTGGCTGCGCGTAGACTAGTCCTTGAGGGAATGGACATGGCTCCATATATATGACGTAATCAGCAGGACGAACGTTTTCAGCTCACCTTAAACGTTAGGTCAGTATGTCTCTACCGTGTATTGTGGGTCGATTAACTTTGTACATAAAGTTATATCTATAATAGAGCAGTATTTGGGCGGCTTAAACACAAATCGTATTGCTGCTGAAAAGTTAAGAGTTGACTGATTACGTGCACGCTCATCAATAAGGCGAACAGATTTATGAATGAGAGATAAAAAAAAAAACGTCATGCAGGTCACTGCAGCTCTAGAAGGCTCTCTTGGGTTGGAGATTACAAGTGTAACGATGGAAAATCTGTTACTTGTGACCAGCATATGAAAAATGGAACAGTAGAGTCGCCTAAAATGTAGCGATTTACATTAAAAAAATCAGTATACAGTCTTTGTAACGATAATGACAAAACAGGCTTGGCCGTACAAGAACTTTGGGAAGCTGAACATAGAAGATAAAAATAAGTGTTTCGTACAATTTACCAATAAGAAAAACGCAAAACTACCTCACTTCCTGAAAGTGGCGAAAAATCCCAGGTCTATCTTTGTCAGTATCGAAACCTCAACTATTTTGAACAATTGGAAACCTCCAAGGGGGTCTAACATTTTACGGTGCTATACATATTAAATCGATATGCCTCTGTAAAAAAATAAAAATATCTATCAAAGTTCGATCAAACCAAGGAAGAAGCTCTACGAAATGACAATATAGAATAGCTAAATGAAAGTTGGCAGGAAAAGTACTGGACAAGCCTATATGCTAAGTACTTGATTATTTGATCGCAGACTCGATTTTCAATGGAGCACATATTTCAACGAAAACTTTTTAATCACTGTATCATATTATTTAATGTTTCACGCGATCAGCGTCTACGTCGTATGTAAAACGGAATCAATATCGACGAGCTGGCTCCCCTAATGGCTGTCGCAGCTATACTTGATAAACCCGTTGAGAGAACTAGAAATAGAAAGCCGTGCCACAAAGTTCTGAGTGAAGCTATTTACAGGCTACAAGGGGCGCCATTAAAGTAAAATATTTGGAATACATCGAAATATCAGCTGTAACAACAATAAAACGCTTAAACTCGTTGATTTTATGGAAAGTTGTGCCGTGTACACTGCACAGTCGAGGGAGTCGGCTGAACCTATTTAGATTATTCCAAGAGGTTGCTTAGTTGAAACGAAACCGATTAGATATTCTTCAGAGCTAGATGCAGCAACTGACATGTATACTTTATACATAAAACATTAAATATTTTTAAATTATTGTAGATAGAAATTTCGGATCAATTTGAGACCGCCGAAAAAGGACCGACCATTATTTAAGCAAATTTGAAACAAGTATTCTTTATCCTTTTTGAAATATGTTACCGAATGAATTATGCGATATTTTTTTTATTGACGGCTTTCTACTGCCTTTCTAGTAGCACCGTAATTTCATTACTGTAGAACATTTCCGCGTGAAAGATCAAGAACCCTCTACATTCTTCTATTGCTACTAATCTTACACCATTAAGGGACCATAACAGAGGACTATCTGATAATGCAACATCCGCACTGTGTACGACGAACGCATGAAAAAGAACAAAATTCTCTTCATTTCTGCCCAGTAGCTTAAGGTATACGTCGTCTAGATTTGTCATGGTGGAAGACAACACTCTTCCCGTTCAATAGTTACGGTTAACCTGTTTTTTTCCTGTCAGTAGGGATTCTAGGCAATCGCTTTGCCAGGCGGCAGTAGCTAATAATGCACGATTTCTTTCTAATGCCGGCAAACGCATAGCATCACCTTGTTAAACGTTAATGGCTCGATTCTGTTGTGTTTTTATAGAGAGTTTCGCAAATCGAATTACAATTAAGCAAAGAGTTTTTCGTGTGCCACGTAAATATCGAGCTTTTGCTATAGCTGGCTTTCTTCAACTGGTTTAGAACTGGGTGGCAGTGGATCTTTAGTTCCATGGCAATGCCACGACTACTCACGTGTCAACGTGACTCAACTTTCGTATCAACTTTTTTTCATAATTGGTCGACCACGTTCGAGGAGCATGGTCAACATCGAAACCTCCCGAGGATCAAAAGTGTCTCTAAGTCATTTCTTCTCGTCACATACCTTGACTAGAAATAGCAAAAATTTTTTTATGGACTTGGGCAGTGTTTGTACGTTTAGAATAATAAAGTTATGGGATGTGGCAAATTTCGGCATTAATGTAGTTCATTTTTAAGGCGCTCTATCTATTTGTATCTGGATAAGAACATGCCAACAATTTGCTACTTCCCAATCTTAAGTTTTAGACCAACGGGGCCCGACACGACTCATATTACCTAAGGTATGCTACTTCAAAGCCAATACTTTTTTGACAACCCAATACTACCTAGTAAAAAAAAAAACGCGTTGTACTGACCCAGAAACTATTGCCCCCGATCGCTATCGACCAGTTGAAAACAAGTTTTGTATAGTGACCAATTTTGACATGAATCAATACCCCGGCCGCGTTTCATTAACGAAATTAAGATAGATATCTGTCGATATCAATAACGCTTGTATCCCTCGTATAGTAAATAGGATAAATACCGTTATTTAGGATTGAATCTCTCCTTCGTAATTTACCTATCGTACAACGACGAACGACCAAACATACGGAAGCGATATGAAGCAACTGAGCTTTTCAGTTCCGTATACCAATGTCTTGAATGGCATCTCGTAGACGTGGCCTTGTGCCTTCATGTTTCGGAGCGCCGACTCTGTCTCGGTCGCGTGCCACCTTCCTCAGCTATATTTTCATAACTCGCATCATCGTCCCATTCTTGCCAAGCCGCTCTTCGCAATAGATTTACTATCGTTCATTATTGCTTGCTCCCTTTCCCAGGCTGTACTTACTTTCCGCGGTATTTTCAAATAATTTATTTGCTGTGTATGCATCGATGCATGCGTGCATATGTCCGTTCGTTCGTTGGAGAGCTAGCAGACGCTGGTGTGCTCGGCTAACATTAATAGACCTTGTGGAATCCGATTCATCTCTCCCGCCCGTTTGAGTTTAGAAAGGCTTCGACACTCATCATGGTCATTTTGCTTTAAACTTATCATCCCATCTAAAGGCTTCCCGACCAACGATGGGAGATGGAGAGCACATACGAGGAAGTGAGTTCTTGGACAGCAGAGTATCTAGGTTTTGCAGTTTATCCAAAAATTCAAGCCTGGTATATTGTAAATAGGCTATGTTTGAACAGCTTGACAGTGTCAAATATACGTGACGAGCAAGCAAAAGAGTAGCTATTGGTCCATTTCTCAAGAATTAGTGTATTATATTGTATGCAATTCAGAAGCGATCGTTGTATGTGAGGGTGGTCGCCATTTGCTACTTCAGGAAGCATTTAGGACTTTTATGTATGCACCTTAATGCAATCCAAGTAAAAAGCTTGGACATGCGGGTTGCTCCCTTGTTTTTAGTGGGTCTGTTTGAAGTGTAGACCCTCCATAGCAAGCTAGGAGAGCCGTAGTTTTTACGGCAATCGGAAAGCTCTCGTTTAGTTCCATTTACAACGTCAGGGCGAGCCTCTTTTAAAGAAGCCTCTTACTACAAAGATTGGCCAGACGCCCAAGCATTTGTATGGCACAAGGCGGCTCGTTAAATTCATTTTTACTTAGATAGCTAGATAAATAAATGGTATTGAAACATTCAGAAATAAATTTGGGTCATAATCAAAAAGTCTGAGAGTGCTAGCAGGAAGTCCGTCGCCCCCGAGAAGGTGAGGGTTTTGAAGATGAGACTTCGCAGACTAGGCACTTGCTATATAAACCATTTAGCTGAGCTTGTTGTGCACAGATAGACTAAAATAATTCGACATGAGGGCTATAATACACTTATACTTCAATATGTTTGCCTTCGATTTTTTAGTGCAAACAAATTCACCTCGAACCTAATAGATAATGAAATGTATCCGTAGATGCACATTTTATGTCTATAACTTATAAACACCGAAGACCCTTACACTGTATTGATATATATATATATATATATATACATATATGATTAAAGGTATTCCATAATTAACTGACGCTGCGGCCTATTAGAGGAGATTGCATATTCTTAATTGTAACAATTGCTTAAGGCTCCGCATTTAAAACATGCTCCTTCCGGGCGAAGATCCAGTGTTCTTCGGCTAGTTCAAGTTATCAATAAATGTTTACATGCTGTTTAAATGGTTTACTAAAAATAAATAAGATACCGTTAACCGTGCTGTTAAAAGAGGTGTAAAATGGATGCTACAGTGATCAATGCTCGAAAAATCAGAAGTACTTTACTACAATTCACTTGAATGTGGTCACTGTATTCCAAATGTTGCTAGTCTAAATTGCCCTCCCCAAACAAAGTAGAACAAACGAAGGCCATCATACTTCACCTATTAGTAGCTATGAACCGATGAACATCTTTACCATAGTTTTTTACGTCCCCTGCACTCGATAACTTTGGACGTTGCCTAAACCATTTATGTACGATCACAAGGGCTGTTTTGCCATTTTGTCCAGTCGTCACCACTCGGTAGTGAAGGGCGTCGATATCGTGTAAACCCTGCGCTTATCACTGTGTCATTCGTGGTGACATTCGCCTATAGGTGGTGTAAACGTATAAAAGTGTCTTCTTGACATCTCAATATTGCAACTAATGCCAGGTATTAGAGATACTATTATTTAATTTCCTGCTACCACAAGGATCATTATATATGTATATATATTCGGTCAGTTCGCTTGCCGAAGGTAAGTTGAATATGCGATGGAATATATTTAGCTCTTAACAATCGGTGCTACCAATGGTTGGATCAATCGGCAGATCAGCGGCCAAAAATCAACCAACAGTTCTAACTGCGTTGTCTACGTCATAACGCTAATAATACTGGCCATTATAAACTCTACAGTAGTTGCATGCAAAAACATCTACTGACTATACTTCTTCAACCGAAGAGCCTGGCAGGCTAATATTGCTTAGTTTTTATATGAACAACACAAAAATATCGTTCTCAAAAAGGAACGAAATTCAAGCGTATGTAGATTTTCTCGGAGGGACGGCATGCGCTTGTTTTTGATCAATAACTAATTTATTTCATTCCTAATTTTCTAAGTTCTCATAAACCCTCATCAAATCTCGTCTGCATAACACCAGAGCACACTTTCTATTCGTAGCAGCGCTAGACAGAATCATCATTGTGCTATTTTCATCAGTCAGCCGAACGGAGTGCGACAAATAAAATTCTTATCAAGTTGCAGTCGGCTAGTTACCTTAACCGTTACAATTCAGGTAAGTTTAGAGTTAGCTCGCAAAGCTTATCGTGTAATCCTACGGCCATACGTGCGCTGCCAAACATTCATCAAACCAGCCATGAGCAGTTAGCGTTGCTAGGTCTGGCAATGTAACTACAGGGCTATCGAAAGCTATCTATCATAGTAAATAGCATCAAATTTTGTTGTCTTCAACACGGCACGTTCAGAGAATAACTCGGAACAATTAAAATTCTAAACTAACCAATATTGGGTCCGAATATCCACGTTTCGCTGTCCGGGAGTCATTTACTTTTGGCCTATTGATCGGTAAAATGCCTTAACCTGATCAGGTTTTTCAAGAGATTTGAATTGATTCAGAAAGCGAACGATACGCTTTGTTTATCGAACATTCGCCCGTATTCTCTGATAGATAATGGCGAGCTGATAATGTTCTATCATGTCAGAGTGGTTACTCGTTAAAGCTTCTGGACAAAAGTAATTATCAGATATAATATGAAGGGTCATATGATGATGAAAATTGCGTTAGTGCTCTGTTTGTTTAATCGATATCTCCTGATAAATCGAAGCTCTGACAATGCTCGCAACTCAGGTAATGATACTTTTTAAAAAATGAAAGGAACAACCACCTTATATCAACATAATGATGTGCATATGATTGCTGAGTAATTGGCGCAGACTACGTTTATAAATAGGTACACTTGTCGTAAGCTAATCGTGTTTCTTTCACACTTGAGCTCCCTCTGGAGTTGCAATTTCGCGTTAGACCTCATCTTCACGTAACACTGTTTGATTTATTGCGCAGAAGGCAATGTACTCATCAACGAAATGCCTATAGCGAAAGGGTTCGTCGAGACGATGTGAACTATCACCTATTTTAGTTTTTTGGCATCTGTTTAATACCATTGCTTAAGAAGAACATTATTGTCATGCCAATCTTGCATACATAATCTCAGTCTCCTAGGAAAAACTGCCGGTTTCAGCAGTAATACATATAACATGGTGGTAATATAATGTATTGTTATGATATATTCCTTAATTCCGTTGACTGAAATCCACGCTCAGGCGCTGAAACACGTTTTGTTTGAATAGCTCATCGTCACTAAAGTCCATATAAATTAGACGATTAAGCAGACATCCACACATCGTTACTCTTTGTTGAAATCGCAAATACATGTGACGTTTAGTTTTTGAAGAACTTCGAATATGCTCGTGAAGAATAATACTCCTGTTTTTCGTTTTCAGTTAAACGAATATATATATATATATATATATATATATAGCACATAGTAGCAAATATTGGCTTGTGCAACAAGCTTATATTATTTACAGAACTAGGTTATCGCGTTTCATTTCAGTGAAACACGCTCACATATGTTATGAATTAGTTTTTTGCCTTCCCTGCAAGAATGAATCGCCACTCCTGTGAGCGGCCCAAGCAGACTTTAGCTAGTAACAGGACGTGGCGCTTGCTTGATTTGAATTTGCGCGCCTATTGCTTAGACTCAAACGAGTCTTTACTCTCAATAGCCTACCGATGTGATCGTACGAGTAATCTAGCGAATCATGTACATAGGCAAATTCTCAGTAAACTGGCTATGCAGATGCAACAAGTTTTAACATAGCAAATAAGGTATGCCATTTTTTGAAAACGAGTCAAGCTTTACAGAATTTCGGGCTGTCACATTTATAAATATCTACGCTTACAATTGACAGTTAGAAATCATCACACACTTCTGGACAATTCATTCACTTCCGTTGTATTCTTAATATTTGTTTATTTGCATTTTTTAGTATGCAGTCCCACAAAATATCAAGTTAAGATAACAAGGCAATTGTCGTCTCACACCATCGCGCTCCCGTACCTTCAACGGTGGCGGTGAGAATCATCGAGTTTCCAGTAGCACATTTTATGTATACGTGTGTATGTACAATGTAAACCGATCAGCCGACTCATCTACAGAGCATCTGCGTTATGAGGATTATTTCTATTCAAACGCGGATGTTTATTTTTACTTCTTAGCATAGTGGTACTCTAGTACCTAGCCCCTATTTTGTTAAGGCCTGCATATGGGCGAGACACTGGTTGAGAGTAACTGTACCCGCTAGTTTTCTTTTTTACAATGCATTATAATTGTTTCACTCCATATTCTACGACGCAATACTATTGCCTATCAGTGCCGGTGTTATCCCAAACTAAATAAAAGATTAAGCTTATACTATGGCTGAAAGATGTATTCTAGCCGATTGAGGTCCTACAGGTAAGATAGAATAGACATAAGAGGGCGTTTGTTTTTAACATGTTAACGCAGTAGTTATACTCTTCGTGTCAATGTGTATCTGAAACAGTCTAATAATGCTTAAGAACTTTATTAAGCATTTACAGTAGTTAAACGATTTCTGGACGGAGAGTTAGCTGTTTCTGGCTGGCGCGTACACGCCTATGAATTGTTTATGAAGGAAAATTTGCATATTGTATACATATCTACTTAAGTTTCTAATGACGAGCTTCTTGAAATTTCTTCAAGCTACTTCGGCATACCCAGAATGTATTAATCATACGCAATCGAACCACAACTTGAACTAGCTATAATCCCGTTAGCGGCGCTACACAAACGCCGTTTAAAAAACAAAGAATTCGTTCTGACGACTAGCATTTTTTGCAACATTTCAGCATAACTTTGAGCAGCGGATGTTACCATCGGAATAATGGCTATAAATCATAAATTAAAAGAAAGTAGTGAATAGGCATCAGAAATATGCACCCCCTCATTTCGTACGAAAGCCATGTTCACGATACAAAAGCGGCTCATTTTTAGCAACGGTTCGATAAACTGATCGTTTTCATTAAGCAAAACATCAAATATGTATTTCTCTATGTACGACAAGGTCACTTAAATAGATTCGTTAAGCACGCTGATGACAGATCTTCGCAGCACCGTAGGATCAGTGGTTTTCGCTGTTTTTATTCTCAATTGGGATTCTTCAGAAAAATAAATGGCACGAGTACAAATAACCATTGATGCTTATACTACAAGATCCTGCACAGCTCGTGAGAGACTGAGCTCTTTTCCGAGGGCGACGTAAGCGGACGCCGAGCGTTGCGGCTGTCCATGTAAGCGACCACCATTTCAAACGACATTACACACAGTTTAGAAATGTATAATTTTAAGAAGAAGTTAGCATATTCACATAGTCGATGAAACTCGTCTTTGGTAGAGCGGCAAGAAATAATGTATTTGAATAGAACTTTGACTGACGTATGAAGAACAAGTTTGTTCTTGCACTATTCATATTATAACATCGTCTCCAATATCCGTGTCTTCTTCACAGAGGTGTTTTAATGTCAATGACAACTTCGTAAGGATTGTCAACAAATCGCGAATCCTCGTCGTCGGGCAGTTGTGCGGCTCCCTGTCGGGACAGCGCCTCGTGTATCTCGGAAAGGTTTACTTTCGATTTTGCAGTCGCGATTGCGTAGCTCAGCTCGTGATTCATCCGGTTTCTGTGATGTCGGGTAAATTTAACCTGAAATAAATTTGATAATAAAACATTATATCCGGCGTCGATGACGTATGGTATTTATTTAGTTCGAGCAGGCTCTAATACGTAACGATACAAGTGGCGGGGCGCTGAACGTTTACAATGCTTATTTTGATAATATAACAGATGTCTAAAGGTGCGTTCACGACAGAAGGCTGATTTACGTTCGGTTAGAAGATAGGACTAAAGGATAAAATGTATATACACATGTCTTTTTCGTCCAGCAGTAGAGCTTCAATGATGACAAGCGAATGTTTACTAATGGCGCTCACACGTGTCTAATAAAGTAATATTCTCGAAATGATTCTACAGTGCTCAAAAATCACATAAAAATATCGAATTTTATTGTTTTGCCGATTTCCGAGCAGGATATCGCATTGCTCTGAATTTTTGTACGTGTTTATGTCTTAGCCTTCAATTTGTTATGCCATCAATGTTTTAAATGTTAACTATGAGCCATTACACAATTAATTCTATAATGAGATAATGCAAATCCAGTGAGTGCAGTTCGCTTTAAGTGCGTGAAATATTGCGACTTCTACTAGGCTTACGGTACTACCAGTTAATCCCCCGTTATAGACTAGCGATCTGACCCAGAACTTCAACGAGTGGCCAACGCGCCTGAAAACGTAGGCATACATTTAATCGCATTAAATGCCACAGTCTACGCATACATATCCATGTGGGAATGTACATGTGGTCAACAATCGTGGCGTTTCTCCTTAAAATACATTCTTAGCCGAAAACCGTGTTAGGCGTGTGGCCACATTGCTTCTTCTCTAAGTGCACGTACACGCAATGCTGAAGCTCAGCTTGCCTCTTTCCTTATTTCCGCCTGTTGAAAAAAGGCAGAACCGTTCCTGCCTCTACTAGTGTTACGCTAACCTCTATCGATGTCAACGTTGACACAAAAGTCGTCGCAGCGCAGCCAAAGACCCGATGTCAGCCAGCCTGGTGTCCCACTAGACTGTTCTTACCAGAGGGTCCCGATTCAGAGAAAAACAGAATGATCAAAGAAGGTTCAATACAACGGTACAGAGACCGAAGTATATTGATCCCACCGTCTAAATTCTAAGCGAGTGAATAGCCTCTTGGCCTTAATGCGAACCTCCCATTGGCGTCTCTACTACCTACAGCTAGAACTCTCCACTGACATAGCCAACAACGATAGCAAGAACACATATCGCTTGTATTGTCTTTTAGTATGATCTCTTTCTCTCTGTCTTCTTTCCTCATATTCGGTTTTTGCCCAATTCTCCATTTGAATTCCAGCCACTCGATTCCATTTGTTTCTGTCTAAATAAGAACAGCATTCTACAGTTGATATTTGTTTGACAATTCTTGAGCATTTTTTTTCTAAGAATCGGGATAATTTTAGTGTGGACGACCTGGAAATACCTGGTTGGCAATGCCCCTATATATGATAACGCAGGTGAATGCACTCGGGCCTTACGAGAAAGAGGAACTGCCATATAATAATCTAATATAGTATAATTGTAATTTTAGTACAATTTTGATGCTATCAATTTTGCCAGGACAGTTTTGGATAAGGATTATAAAAAAATTAGACGATCTCGTGCAATGCTTCTAAGCCAATTCATTATCAGCACACAAATAATCGTTACAATCACGTGTGTTCGATACCCAGTATAGTGTCGTATGCATTTACATACTGTCTCAGTAAAAATGAGAGGATACGACCCGAAACGTCTAGCCAATTCCATGACTGGCTGCTTTAGTACAACTCAGTAATCTTGATAGTACCTGAATTTGGTAGTAATAATATTATTATTATTATTATTAACGTTAAGCGTTATTATTAACGCTTCGTCTTTGCTTATTATGGTTGCTGATGCGATCTACGACCGGCCTGCTTTTTCTGTGCCTGAACAGCTGGCTATAAGGATATCACTTAGTACCCGTCATAATGGCCACCGTTATCGTTTTTTAGATAGCGCAAACGTCTCACACACAGACTTGAGACCAAAGCTGTCCGTTACTGCACACTTCAAATATATAATTGTAGATATTGCCTAGAGATATTAACTCACGCGTAGAAAGATTGGCGCGCGGTATTCGGCTACACTGTTATAGCTATAGTTGCTTTCGTCCTCTGCATAAGTTGCAAAGCTCGGCCAATTGGCTATAGCGTAACGAGCAATTTGGTTGCGGATCTCTAGCGCTTGGTCCTAGGCCCCGTATATGAGATTATTAAATCCACATTGGACGTGTGTGTGGAGTCGTACAGAGAGAAAATGAGATCCGATTCGGATTTGTCTAATGATCGTTGTTAGAGACAGTAAACATTTCTTTGCTAAAATTAACTATTCGATCATGCTGTCCACGCACTTCATCGGGACTGAGGTGTATCTGGCTCGTAGAGGAACTCCCTAACCGAGAAGTATTTATGCATTAAAGTCAGTACGCAAACGAAGATACCTTGTTTTAGTCACTGTCGGCTGACTTCTGATCGACAAGTAACGTTACCATTATGAGCGTTTGACATTGATATGCGATAAATGTATTATCAATCAGCAACACATCTGCATCATAATTCCTAACAGATGATGAAACTTAGATGCGCCACAAAATTAAGCTCCACGGTAGCCAATTAGAGGCAACTTCAGGCCTCAGCTTGGCTACGTTGCAGTTTAGAAAAGCGAGTGGTTGCAAAAGAATACTGCAAGACTGACATGTGTTGAAATCGCGTATGCGAGGGTGAATCCCCACGAAATCGACCACCATGTACACATTGAATTTGGAGATAGCAAATTTGTCTTCTTTGAGGAAGAACGGCGCTGGAAAAGGACATAGTATGGCAGCAGATAGAAGAGAAATTTAGCTGTGAACTGAATGTTAAAGTGAATAGACGTCACGTTTTGTCTGGAACTAAAATATACTTATAAACACATATTTTGTGGATCAAACTGAATCAAATAATAGTTGGGTACGAGTAGAATATCCAGTGTGGAGCCATCTGATGAATGGCTTGGGCCGTGTTAATTAGTCAGGCGGTTTTTCTCTAAAATTCAAACATATTTAACCTCTTATATAGTATTTTTAGAAGAGATATAGTTGAACACAATCTACTTAATGGTTTATATTACAATATTTTACCTTATAGACACACACATTGTGTATCTATATATGCATTTTACCGTTTTTTACGTCTCTTTGGAGTTACAGCGTCACCAAGAACGAATCAACGTTGCTTGTCGTATATTCATCGATATGGGCAACCCTACCCGCGGAATAACCTAGTCGACGATAGTTTATACATTAGCAGGGAGCTAGCGGCGTATTTAAACTTATACACCTAGCTCTTTCTAGCTTAAGAGCCCACGTGTTACCATATAATTGGCTGTTATAAATCTGCTAGTGTGAAAACCAAGCTCAGCATCATTTTCGCCCCAAGTTAACGAAATTTGTTTTCTGTAGGAGTCTTATTATATGTGCTATTAAACAGCATTGATGGGTCGTGCGTATCAAAGCATAATTTCCAAACTAATTCGCTCTTGAAATTTAGGCAGTAAAACTAACGACGCACAGCGCTTCCTCGCTATTCTTAGCGACTTATCCCTTTAACGGCACTTATAACTCAACACAAGGACGTATAGTCACAACGCTACAACTATGACGTCCAGTCACTGGCTGACATGTTCCATTAATGTTGCACTAATGAAAAATATTTTTGGTTTGTTACAACAAAAGGAAACAAAATCAGTAGAAACAGAAAGACATATTGGAAAAAGCAAATCGTTACTTAACAACAGGTTAACACATATTCAATGCCAGCTGTACAGTTCGAATCGGGTTCATAACCTAACCCTGTTCTAACGTTATAGCAGCATTATTTAAAAACGAAAGACACTAAGGAAATCTGTTTTCGGCAGTCATAGCAACTTACCTTGGCTGGCAACTCCGGGAACCCGGTTAGACCGACACTCAAATTTGTGCAAGAAAACGAATCGTCGGTAAGGTTGCACTGTGACACTGTGGTCGGCAGTAGCGGCATGGAGCGTCCATAATTCACGAAGAGTGATCCTGCTAGATCCTTTCCTGACCCATTTGCACGGGTGGGACATTCCCGTTCGAACAAGCGTGACCACGGCCTTCCGCGCGATTCGGGTCCAGATCCTCTGCCACCCCCGTTGCGATCTTCTTTATGTCGTCTGTGAAGGTTGCCGTTGGCCGTGTTGGTGTTCCCGGAAAGCGAAGTCGAATTCAAACAGCACTTATTTAAATAGGAAGCTCTTCTTGAGAGTTTTTTATACAGGCGCATAATGGCGTATTCGGCACTGGTTCGACAAAGTCAATATTTTGTAGTGGCAATGGGTGTGGTGCGAATTGTTTTCCACGAAAGGATGCCATCTGGCTGCAAGAATAAGTTTTTCTATTGATAGTGGTAACAAACCTTTGCGTCGATTCCATACGTCGATAAAAGGCTCTATTCGAATCGGGGTAACTTTCGGAGCGAAACAATCCTAGGAGTATGTCGCGATATTGTTTTTTATCGTGTGCCACCAATTCGGAACTTGGTACTAACCCCATAGTGTCGGTCGAAATGATTCGCTGGTCGGACGCGAATCTTTCGACATAAAGGTAGACCAAAAGAAAAAGCCGTTGAAGCTATCACATTTCCCAGGCATCGTCCATCTAATAGATGCAGTATAATCAAGAAGCAGTTATATTTATACGAATTTACTGATAAATTTTAACTAGGCACTTTCCTTCGGTTTTAGCATAAACCCTCGCATTCCTCAATGAACATGAGATTGCTTGCAACTGGGCTACCAAGGCACTAGCAAAAATAGAACGAATTTATGTTATCGTCATCAAAAACAACCATTACAGGATGGCACATATTCGCAGGGGCAAAATATATTCGCATTGGTAAGAAATGTTGAATACTTCAAGCGGATCTTCACGATGTTTCTCGCTATTTGTGCAGTAATCTCCACAGGCCTCTATGCAACAACGGGTTGTTGGAGCCTATAGACTGCACCGGTGCAGTCCGTAAAGATAAACCAAGCAAACAACACTTAATCAACGGTTCAAAGGGTAATTCGACGAGTGCTTACGGTAGAGTCTACCTCAGTAACAACATCTCGTAACCTTGTGATCGGTTGCGCCCACACTCCGATAGTTTTCAGCTGTTTCCTCCAGAACCACAAGGATGTAAAATGCATTACTAGTTGACGCTTCGACCGACTGACGTGCTAAATAGGTAATCTACGACAACGATTGATCCCTTAGCTTGGGTCCGCGGCAAAAGCCGGGGTTAATAATATCTTAATAAGAGCCTTTGCTCTACCAACCGAATGCATCACTGCCCCTCCTTCCCCGCCTGTGGCAATGCCTCTCTGCTTTCTTGGTTCACAACTCGTCTTATTATCACTGTTAATCCAACGATTGCTTTTCTCGAAATTAGGATTAAGCTCTTATGCAAAGCTGTTCCGTTGAGCTTCACCGATTCTCGTAGCCGACGACACATGTCGTTACCACTCATAGCTATTGTGGCTACGGCGAATAGCAGTAACATTAAGAAACGTGATCGACCTAGGCGTATCAAACGTTCATCAAGGCATATCTGCCCTAGCGAGGTTACGGTAAATCTTAATGCACATGAGCGAGCTACTACATTGGTTTAGCCTGTCTTAGTCTATCGAAGTCAGGCGAAAACAAACGAGCAATTCGGTTCACTCAACGTTGGTTATCGTTGTCTACACCGTACTTGTGTTTTCCATTGAGAGTATAACAAAAGAGGACGCACCTGACTTTTCCCTTGTCATTTCTTCCTGCCTTCGAAGCCACTGTTGCCGCTGTTATTTTCGTTGTTGACACTGGTCTGTTTCATAGCTCTTAACGTTGTCGACCACTTGTCCCTTATATGTGCAGCAACAAAATGTTGGCAGTTTGTGTATCTAAATGGATTGCGTGAAAATCCGTCTTCTGACCACCGTATTCGTGACTCTAATGTAAACGTATGTTGTCTACTATCGATTTAATGTTATGCATCTCTTTAAAGTCGAGAGGAGTCCAACGACATCAATGCGAATAGAGAGGACTGAAGCGTTCATGTACGCTGCGCCTGTCTCTATGACGGCAGCGGTTGTGTGTCACGCAGCCAGTCAGTTACTATCGGCCACGACAGAAACTAATCGGTACCGTTGCTGATGCCGGCACCGCTACGACGGACTTGCGCAAAGTCATTTCGGCACACTCACTAAAAAAAGAACTTGTGAAAGCGATAAAGAAAGAGAAAAGCTAGACTGATTGTTGCCGGCGTGGCAGCTGGACCATAGCGGAACCTCACACACAGGCTGATTCGGACGATGCGCACGATTCACTGGGAATGAAGAGCCAAAGAAGACAATGTAGCTATGGACCGCCTGAACTCTGATAGTGCAGTCCGCCCATCTGCGGTTTCCGTTTCGACTACGTATGTTTGCTTCAACTGAATTTCATGGCCGAGTCAGCATTGTTCGTGTCCATGTGGGGGACCCCGTCTGTAAGCGAATGTGCCGTCAACACTGCTCGAGATTTTAGCAACAGTTCAATGCTGACTAGTGACGGAACATGATAGGCCGGTAACGTGATCGAATGGATAGTTAACAGCAACTGTAACAAGTGATTAACTCACACGGTGCCAACATGTAATCACAGGATGTCAAACTTGCTAGGCTATTGTGTTGCCGTAGTAAAACGTCCGGCTGGCGCTGATTTAGGAAATACCTTTTAATGTAAATGTGCGAGTAAAGCTGTTATTAACAAACAGTTTAAGCTGTAATTATGTTGTGTTTGGCATAAGAAAGCTATACAATGCATAAGATGAGGTGTATGTGACCCTTTTCTGCGTTGTTTTTCTTTCCTTTTCCTCGGAACTTACTTACACTCGACTCCTGTGTGGCAACCACTTGCCATACAATATCTTTGACATTACTGCATAGTCGCGTATAACCGGCCAGGACTGAAGTTCGTAGTCTGCTTTCAGCATGATTGCCTATTTCAGGATGCGGATCGTGTATGCTGCGTATCTCCTGATTTTCATTCCAGCGCTCATGCTTTAAAATGGTTGTCTAGCAGCTTTCCATAGTTACGCCTTTCGTTGTTAATGTAACGGATTTCCACACGTATTAAATACTCAAATTCACCATTTCAATTTTATAGACAAATTCATACGAAAATTGCGTTGTTATTGTTATCAACATCGCGTACGTCTGCAACATTCCTGCTCGTTTGCTTCATTTATCGCCTGAATATTTTATCCACGTACAAGTATATAGTATTTATATATATATATATATAGTATATATATATTTACATAAATATATAAATAAATAAAAAGAAAAATTAAAAATTAAAACTCGTTATGCTGAATGATATCTAGAAAGCTTAAAGCTACCGCGAACGCAATTTCTATAACGTAATTACTAGCCTATACAGATAATATGGATACATAGGCTGAACCATAACTTTCAATATTAAAATCTCTATAGATATATTTCAGTTTAATTCTATTCAAGCTCTACTGTGATGTTATTGCCCAATTACGTAGCTTAAAACTCTTAAAGTTGCCCTCAATATTTAGAGGGATGATTTCAAACAATTCTCATACGCGACTATAATCAGCCTAGTTCTAAGAATAGTCTTTTTTATGGCGGTATGCAGCTTAATTTTAGTCTAGCCGTAACGATCTGGTAGATTTGTTCGACAAAAGTATCTCTTAACCAGAAACCCTAACATGGTGCTACGCTAAGTGAACCACCGTTAGCTAAACAAAATCTTGTAAACCTTATATTCCATTGGTAAGAACACAATGATTTATTCCTTGGTCAGCACAAGTATTTCACGTACATGCCAACCGATTACTGTTGAGTTCAAACTATTTGGCATTCTATTTGGGATTTATCGATAATCACATTGATGTACATATATTTGTACATTGGAGGGCCACGTTCATCTTTACCGGCTGGTAGCGGTCGACATAGAATAAGATTAACACTTTCGCATACATTTCGAATGCAATGTTAAGGCCATATCTTGTGCTGGTCCAGAGGCAGGCTTGACCGAATGGATTTCATAATGTATCGATTAACACCTTTCGACATTCTTGGCCTACTTGTGGCGTCGAATGCATCAAACAAATAGATGCAGGCGGCGATCGTACACGGGGTAAGTTGTTCCTCAATGCTAACCAATGTAGTAGGAACAGGCACAAAAATGTTGCGGTAACCACGGCAGTCAGTCGGGGGAGGGGCGGAGATTTAGCAAACCTGTCACGTTACCATAGACCGTTTTAGCGCAAGCCCAAAATATCGCAGTCTCAAGAATTTATTTGTTCTACCCTCACTTTACGAACTCACTTTAAAGGTAAGCGATTTCAGTCAAATTATGGTAGAACTCACAGCAACGCACGCGAGACCATCGGACCCGCTTACGTATCCGTGCTTGCAACAGGTTGGCTCAATGTGCAAAGCTAACATCATCCATGGTAGTATATAAAAAATAGAATATTTATACGATTCTGTATGTACATGTACACACATGGGCTGATATGAACCAAATGGGCAATCATACTAGTATTACATCACCTATGGCTTTTGGTTCACACAATACAAGCTGAGAACAAGAGATACAAGGACTAACCGTATATTCCAAGTACCTATACGCAGAGCCGCACACAGGAAGCACATAGCGGTACGGGTTCGACAGTAGGAAGGTTGTTCATTCTAAAATGGTACGCGGTACTGGCGAATGTGTTTGGAAAGGAAATATAAAAGGTAATGAAAAGCCCAAAAACATGACGTCTAATTACAGAACGCCAGAAACAAGTGACACTGTGGTATAGAACTCCGCTTAGTAGAAAACAGCATAATTCATACTGGTCAAAAATCTATTAAATGATTAATCTGCATATCATGTAATTTGTGCTTAGAGAAATATAGTAATAATTAATTTTATCCAAACAGTCCGGAACTCTCTAATTGTTTGCGCGCCACTTGTTACTATTTTCCTTGTGTGATTTTTGTCACTGACACCAAAAACAACCTAGCTGAAGAAACGTTCATGTTTATCAAAACATGCAGTAAGCTCCAGCAAGATATATAACTCCGTCGTACCGGTCTGACAAAGAAGCCTAGAAATACCTTGAGATTTTTTGTCGATCGTGCCTTATTAGTTTTCAGGTACAGTTTATATCTTAAAGCGCCAACTAAATTTCGGTAAACGGCATCAGAAGAGCACTGACTGCAACCTGCCATTACATCCTTAATTAAACAGTGCTCCAGGTTACTCCTCCAGAACCTTATTACTAGTGCTAAGCATAGCTAAGCACACGAAAGCTACCTTGATTTAAAAATTTTATAAACGAGATAAGATATATTTAAGAACTATAAGGCTGTAATAAATGACAGAAACAGACTTGCTCTACATTCGTGTGGTGGACCGAAATTTACCGCATTTCTGCTACTGAAGTCCAAAGCCAGTAAAAACACACACTTAAGCAAACTTATTTATCCTGAAAGACATTCATTAATCAAATAAAGAAAGATAAGCTTTTACCAAAAATGTCCTCTTATTATTGAAAGATTTTGCGTATATCTTGTTTACATCGCGCCTGTCACCAGGGTATTTGCCATTGTAACATGCAATTTTAATCAGCATTTTTTTACTAACATTACCCACTAATTTCACACCATTAACGGGCACTGCAGATGCGCTTCAGGATTTTCTGGTTCCAGGCAATATCTATTTTGATATTACTTCGATTAAAAATATACTCTCTTCTCAAGAAGTGAGTGACCACACTTCGATTTGGGGATAGTCATCAGAATATGAGATATTCTCGTCGTTCTTGACAACTTCGAGAAAAAAACGTCGTAATGATGATGAGCGACAATTCGACAAGGCTCAATACCACTTGCAGTCAACCAGCTCCATAAGTTAGTATTGCTTCTCTTATAGCGGCAGGAAACCACATACAATTGTGAACGCAGGGGGAATATGGTAGAAACGAATGTTTGGTCCGTATCCCATGGGTATTTGAAAAGCGTTTGCCCGTCTGTAAGAGCTTCGTGATCGTCACTGCTAGTTGTTGATTTGCAACGTCGTATTGATCTTTGTAGATGATTTTGAGGGCAGTGAAAACCGTCAGCCTTCGTTCGATTTGATGTGGCGTGAGAATGTAAGCACCGTTCTTGGTGAGGCTTTTTGAGAGGTAACATCAATGAGCCAACGATACGGAACGGTAAATGGCCGTGTCGGGTTTTACGCAATAGGTTAGTTGCAAATTCCAACAATAGAGGTTGCTTCAGAATTTCTCGGAATGCATTATAGTCGTAGGCCGATAATAAAGGGAATAAAACTGATTTTGAACCATAGAAACCTAATAACAATAACAGTGGCTTTGACTCTGCTGAGTGAGGTCATCAATCGCCAAAAACCTATTTTGACTTAGAAAAAGTATATTTTCCACGAAAACTAATGTTTCTTTTCTGTGCTTCCCGTGCCTCGCAAGGGCTTAACGGAACTTCAACGCGAATTCCGCTTAATGAAGGTGGCCCGATTAAAAGGATTAGACTACTTTCACGAAGCTTTACACAGCGCAGAAATTCATGCTCCTAAGTAACCTCAAGCTACTCCCGGTGATGTTGTCCATGGCTACACGCAACCTAGAAACTACTCAACACTGCGTTTTACACTTCACCAAATTCAGTTAGAACGCTCCCGAACAATTTCCATCGATCAGAGGGTATGCAATATTGCAAAAGTAACTTACGTTATAAATAGTCGGAATATAGTTATTTTTCTTCATTTTATGACGCAGCGTACCAGTCTAGAGGGAAGTTCTCTTGAAAAAAGAACGACTAACCATAGAGCTTCATACATTCCCTGTCCGAACAGATATATGTATTGGACTCATACTCAAAGTTCTACATGTATCTACCTATTCGGAAAAAGGATTTACGTAAAATACTGTGTATATCTACGGCGTACCACCCATAACTGTCGAATTAGTAATGCCCAATTGTGGATCCACGTACCAAGCTGTCCATATACCGAGCTGCACTCTTCAGGCTTTCAAGGTCGTATTTTTCTGATCATGCAAACCTGCAAAAAACGTTTCATAAAGTGTTTACTACGATATAACTAATTAATTACCTAGTTCAGTTTTTAATTTTTATTATTTTACCTCATTATGAAGACCACGTACAGAAGGATGAGTGTTAGAAGACAGAGAGCCGCAGTCAGAACTGAAATGCAACCAAAAAGAAATCATAGATTTATTTTAGTAAAGTGAGTTCGTTGTACTTCACTCCGTTAGCAAGCGTTAGCAAATATCTCTTCAAAGTTGACTGCAGCGACCCGTGATGAACGTTAAAAGATAAAAGTAAGCGTTTCGATTCGAACCCCTAATGTCAATAGTTATTGAACGCAATGGGTTTAATAACAATTTCGTCAATTTGGTTGTCAACGGACGCCACACCTAGATTCCCTTTTTATTTTGCTGTTAAAATATTATGTTGTATTTAACTTATAGAATACGAAAATTAGCAAGGCATATTAACGGATGCATTTTAGAGTAATCTTAATGTGTCAAGAAAGCTGGCTGTATGGCGAAGTATTCTGCAGATGCTGCTGTAGATCGTCGGTTCAAGCCCGATGTCGCGATCAGTAATGTTCCCTATAACATGGCTTGTTCGGTTCTTTTCTAGTCCATTCGTTTTATATATGACCTTTAATAATAGCCACATGTAATTTTGTTTTGTGCAACATTCGTACTCTTCACAAATTAGCGTGAATCTGACGTAACAAGTCACACAGCACTCCTCGACCCCAAAATATGGCTATTTAAACTAATAGTAGTTCTATAACATGGAGGTATTGTAACACATCGATATCTCTCTAGTTTAGATATTATATCATTTACCACGGAACACAGCGTTGTCTATGTATCTCTTTTAACGTAATGTGTATACCATCGCCATTTCTTAGACCTTCCCTTAACTTCCGAGTTAATCAGCTTCTTGATAAGCACCGATTTCTGTTGTTCATAAAAAGGTGAACGTCTAATTTTATTTTAAATAAACTAATTTTATTTGACATTACGGACTGAAAATTGTGGTTGCTCTATACATGAGGACAAAGGACATTTACAAAGTTCAGGACGCGGTTTTTAACTGAAAATCACAAATGATACACAAATAATTTTTTAAGGTATATGACATTCATAATATCCTATTTAATAGTAGTGCGGCTATATTACACCAATTTT